CACGGGCCGCCCACCTGCCTGGGCTGCTCAGCCTGGTGCACCTGGGCGCCGTGCCCAGGCCCTGTGTGCAGGAGCTGCTGGCCACAGAGCCACTGATCCAGGCATCACGGGCATGCCAGGAGGCCCTGTCCCAGGGCCACAGCAAGGTGAGCGAGGGCCGGGGTCCCAGCCTGAGAAGGAGGAGGAAGAGCAGTGTGAGGCCCCCAAGGGTCCCCAGGCTTGCACTGCTCCCTGCTCGGGACGGCCACATGTGAGAGTGTCACTGGTCACCTCCAGGACAGGCCAGGCTCTCTGTGCTGCTACAGATCAGAGGAGGTAACAGCAACAGGGAGGGAGATCACCTTTGGCTCTGCATTTCAGGCCTTGGTGGTGCAGCTGCAAGGCTGCTCACCTCTGGCAGCCAGAAGCAGAGGCCGAGGGAGGGGGTGGGACCAGAGCAACCCTCCCAGCCACACCCCGCACCCGGAGCGGGCCCCGCCTCCTAAGGCACAGCCAACTCAGGGTGGGTTTATGAGGGGCTTTCCCCCTGGAAGAAGCAGAGAGCACTCTGATGATCTGAGCACAGCCGTGATGGGGGCCCAGGGAGGGGCCCAGGCCTACCCATCCAGACCCAACTCCCAGCTGGGGATCTGGAGGCTCCCTGGTCCTAAAGCACATGCAGCCCAGGGCACAGAGATGGGAGGCAGACGCAGAGGCAGTGAGGCGGGCAGGGCACACTTAGGGAGCTGGTGGGCAGTGGGCACCCGGGAAGGGGGCATCGGAGCTGGGCCTTAGAGATGGGGCAGGAGCTTGGTGTGAGGAAGAGGAGAGAATTCCCTCCAGGAACGTGGCGCAGGTGGGGACACAGACAGGTGCGGCAGTGCCAGCTGCCCAGAGGGCGCTGCTCCAACTCTAGCTGACAGGGGCAGTGGGCAGGGCCTGATGCGGCCAAGGCCAGGAGCCCAAGGGGGGTCAGCTGCCAGCATGGCTTGGGGCCTGGCAGGACAGAGATGGGCCCAGCCACCAGTCTAGAGTAGGGCCAGGGAGTGCTGACTCCGGGCAACACCAGGCCCTGTGCGCCTGGTCTTGGCTGGAGACCGGCCATGGGGGAGCTGCCATGGGGGAGCTGAGAGGGCTACAGTGGGGCTGGGCAGTGGGGTGGTGGGGCCACCCTGTACAACCTGCTGCAGCCCAGCGAGTGCAGGGAGGCCCGGGCCTCGCTGAGGAACTGGGTCCGCCCCAGAGCGGGTACAGGGCACCTGGGGGGCACTGGTGTGGACGGAAGCAGCAGCTTCTGCCCTGGGGACAAAGGTCTGCTGTGAACACCACACTGTGCGGCTGCTGCCATCCCCAGCCCGCCAGGGACACGTGTGCGTCCACACAGGCACATACACACAGGCGCACATGTGTGCCGAGGCCTGCCTGGCCCATGCACGAGCCCCTGGACAAGTGGGCTCATTGTGCCAACCCCACAGGTGCTGCCCAGCCCCCTGCAGAGGCTGGAGGAGGTTCTGGTCGTGGTGGGCGGCCGGGCGCTGGAGGAGGACGGGGAGGACGGGGAGGAGCCCACGCCCCGCCCCGGAAACTTCGCCTTCTACGACACCCAGGCCAGTGAGTGCCCGCCCTGCACTGCCCCCCACCACTGCACGCCCAGGGAATGGGCACACAGAGAATAGGGCACCTGGCAGGCCCATGTCCCAGGGCGCCCATGGCATTGTGGTTATAGAGGAGCCTGGTCCGGGAGAGACCCTGGCACCCTGCCCTGTGCTCCTGCTGAGAAAGGAGGGCAGTGGGGGATGACATGTGAGAGGTGGTGACCATCCCGGCCCTGCCCATCAGGCTTCCCTTCGCCTCCCTGAGCAGACCTGTTTCTCCTCTGTGAAATGGGCTCTGTGAGGGGAACCCAGACAGGAAAGGGGCCGTGACAGGGTAGGGGACACGGCATCACCTCCTGGGAAAATGCTGTTGCAACTGGCAGTGCCCAGCCAGCCCCAAGGTGGGTGCCACCAGCTGGCACTAGAGGAGGCCAGCAGCTGTGCCCGCCTGGCCGGGTGCTGAGGGGGATCTGATGCTGATGTCAGGAAGCAGCTATGCCTGGCCTGGTGGGGAGGAGGGACGGCGGGGATACTGGGCCTTCCCCGCCCGGGGCATGCAGGTGTGAGTCAGGGACATGTGGTCCTGCCCACAGTGCCAGCAGAAGAGGGCATTCCTGGCCCACCTCTAGGGCCTGGTCTCCAGAAACGTCCAGAGGGCGCTCCCGAGTTTACGGTCTCATGGGGGTTTTCCCAAATTGTTTCTCATCCTTGGCCTCAGTTTACCACAGGCCACTCCACAAGGTGAACTTGTCATCCCTCTGCCCCTAAAAGCCCACACATCTCCCGGCCCCATGCAACTCTGAAAGCCAGAGACACCCAGTTCTAGATGGGGAAATTGAGGCTGGCCTCTGCCCAGGACCACACAGCTGGGTGCCAGGACTGCTGCAGGGTGTCTCGGCCCCACGAACCAGCTGCCGAGGAATGGCGGGGCTCACGTGACATGACCACTAGTGGTGCCCACGGTTGAGCTCTCTGACCTATACCCATCCGCCCGTGGGGTCCATGTGGGTCAGGGCAGCTCTGTGTGGTGGTGTGGAGCTGAGGGCACCATCACAGGTGAGCACAGCAGCCCGGGTGGCTCCGATCGCCCCACGGGGTATCACCCCTGCCAATCACCCCCACACAAGGGTGCTGAGTGGCCCCCAGCACTCCGGCCACCTGATGCTCCGCCTCTCTCCTGCCAGGGCAGTGGATGGCGCTCCCTGACTTCCCGGACTACCACAAGTGGGGCTTCTCCCTGACGGCGCTCAACAATGACATTTACATCACAGGTGGGCAGCTGGGCTCCACAGGGACACTGGCCCCATGAGCACCCAGAAACCAGCCCCCCTTGGCGGGCACCCTGACAGTTCAGCTGGGACCCCTCCAAACCTCCCCAGGCACGTAAGAGCCAGGACTCCCACACTTGCTACCTGGGGTCATGCCTTCCCAGAAGGAGCTGTGAGCCCACCAGTCACCCTGGCCTTTCCCTTCCTGGGACACAGCAGTCCCCTAGGACTCAGGGTGGAGCCCTGGATCCGAGTCCCTGGTCTACAGAGATGGGGATCTCAGAGCTGACCGCCCCTGAAGCCCCAACCTGGCCCATGGTCTGGCATCTGGGGAGGCTCAGCACATTAGGGTCACAGCCTGCATGGAGTGCTGGACACTGGGTCCAGAGTGCCCAGGCTGCTGGTGCCCAGATGGACACAGCCTCTCCTGACAGGGGGCTCCCGGGGCACCAAGGCGGACACCTGGTCAACCACTCAAGCCTGGTGCTTCCCGCTGAAGGAGGCAGCCTGGAGGTCTGTGGCACCCATGCTGAAAGCCCGCACCAACCATGCCAGCGCGGCGCTCAACGGGGAGATGTACGCCATTGGCGGTGAGCCCCTCACCTGCCCCAGCCCTGTGGTCCCCACCCCAGGGACATGGCTGCCGGCAGCTATCCAGGGAGCCGGCTGCCTGGTATGGTCAGTGCACCCCTCACTTGGCTCCCAGCAGGCAGCCCTGGGAGCCCCTGTCCAGTGCTCTGGGTCACCAGCCCTGGGCTCCCAAGGCTGGGGACTCAGGAAGCAGTAGGGTGAGTCCGTGATGTCCAGCAGGAGCTGGAGCTCGAGCTGCAGGCAGGGAGGAGCATGGGCTCAGGCCTCAGCTCCATTGCAGCAATGGGGAGCCGCAGGGTGAAGACCCACTCCACTGTGTCCTCCCTGCACAGCCCCGGCTTGACTCCGGGGCCGCCTTATGCCCAGACACCCAGCAAGTGCTCCTGCAGGGAGCCCTGGAGCTGACAGAGAGCCGCCGGGACAGCAGAGTCCATGTGGCTCTGAGGATCATAAAGGAGCCACACCTGGCCCCATGGGTTCCAGGCCCCCCGTCCTTCTGCCCCCATCTCTCCTGGCAGAGAGAGCAGAGACCACACTTGGCTCCAGAGCTCAGGGCCCCTGGGGAACCCAGGTCTGCTGAGGTGGAGACTCCTGTCCACAGGGTCCCGCCATCGTCAAGGCCACCGTCCTCCAGGAACTGGGGGGCTGCCACAGCTCCAGGTCATCTTACCACCCACCCGCCCACACCACTTCCCGACCATGGGCCCTCGTGTGAGCACCCTGGCCTCAGAGAGCCTGTTTCCCCACCAGTGAAGTGGGCAAGCTCGCTGTCCTGGTCCTGGACACCAAGCCTGGGTGGGCAGGTCCCATTCCTCCTGCTTGCCCCTCCAGCCCTGTCCTCCCTGCCCTGCAGGCACCACACTGGATGTGGTGGAGGTGGAGAGCTACGACCCCTACACAGACAGCTGGACGCCCGTGCAGCCAGCGCTCAAGTACGTCAGCAACTTCTCTGCGGCTGGCTGCCAGGGCAGACTCTACCTGGTGGGTTCCAGTGCCTGCAAGTACAACGCCCTCGCACTACAGTGCTACAACCCTGTCACAGGTGGGCACGGGTGCCACTGGCCCCATCAGGTGGGAGGCTGAGGGAGGCGGGAGAGGCTGGGTCACCTTGCAGTCCCTGCCCACCCCATGGAGTGAGCTGCATAGGTGCTGAGCTCCAGGGTGGGTCTGAGGCCTGAAACCTTCTCCTGCTCAGCGCTCTGGACCCTGGATTGGACCTTACCACGCAGTGATGACAATAGGGCCCATTTCACAGATGTCAGGTGCCGGAGACTGATGGGTGGGGCAGGGGCAGGAAGGAGGCCGAGGCCCAGGGACTCAGGGAGAGGCAGAGCTTCCTCCTCCAGCCGCCAGCACCCTGGGGCAGGGAGAGGCACCCGGCCTAGAGCAGGAGCCCCGCTGAGGCCCTGGCACATCGCCCTGTGCCCACAGATGCCTGGAGTGTGATCACCTCGCCCTTCTTGCCCAAGTACCTGTCCTCGCCACGCTGCGCCGCGCTCCGGGGGGTGCTCTACCTCATCGGCGACAACACCAAGAAGGTCTACGCCTATGACCCCGGGGCCAACCTGTGGCAGAAGGTGGGTGGACTTGCAGGGGAGGCCAGGCTGGGGGAGAGGTGACCGTGCTCCTCCTGGGGGCAGAGCTGGGCCCTGGCTGCGAGTGAGCTGCCTGTGCAGGCAGTCAAGCAGGGAGGAGACTCCTGAGCTGCCACCTTCTTGCTCCCCAGTGCCTGACACCGGCCTGTGCCACCATCTCTTCTCCTGTGCTCGGAGCGGGGCCTGCACCTCTGTAGTCCTGCTGCCCACACTGTCCCTGAGCTTGGTGCTTTGCTGAGCTTGATCTCACTGTGCAGCTCAGGCTGGCCTCAAACTTGTGGCCATCCTCCTGCCTCAGCCTCCTGAGTGTGGAGGTTACAAGTGTGCACCACCACACCCAGCATGTATTAAGGAATGGCAAGCTCGCTGGGTGCAACACTACCCTAGGCGGGACATGGGTGGAGCAGACCCCCTCCCTGCTGTCCCTGGTGCCCAACAAGGGCCTCCTGCCCACACCATCTGTCCTCAGGTGCAGTCCCAGCACAGCCTGCATGAGAATGGTGCCCTGGTGCCCCTGGGTGACATGCTGTACGTGACGGGTGGCCGCTGGCAGGGCATGGAGGGAGACTACCACGTGGAGATGGAGGCCTATGACGCCGTGCGGGATGCCTGGACCCGCCATGGTGCCCTGCCCTGCCTCTGGCTCTACCATGGGGCCTCCGCGGTCTTCCTGGATGTCTCCAAGTGGACGCGGCCCTTCCGCCCTGCCCCGCAGCCCTAGGCCCTTGTCGCCCCAAGGAGTGGCCCCTGTGATGCCTGCTGACTTATTCACTGGGGCTGCAGCCTCCCAGGACCCAGCTGGGTGCTGGCGCCAGGGGTCACCACCACTCCTTACTCCAGGCTGCCCAGGGTGGGGAAGGACCCCGGGCCCAGGACAGCACCAGAGGCTGCCCAGCAGCAGATCTGCCTCCTCTGTGCCCCTATGACGGGCTTCGGGGAATTTGTATAACAGAATGGGGGCAAAATGGGCCCCAGGACATGGGCAGGGCCTCCCAGGAGGGTCTGCTTTCCTCACCCACGGTGGTGGCCACACCGGCAGCTGTCCTGTGCCCACCACACATGGGCTTGGCGTCTCTGTGGGCCTCAGGCTGCCCACCCCCTTTCCTGATTGCTTCTGGCACAGCAGAGGCCCTGCCTAGCCCTGTGTGTCCCCCTCCACTAGGAAGGCAGCCTCGCGGGGGGCCACCGGGAAGGAAGGGGTTTGGGAAGGAGCCGGGATCTGTGGGACAGCTGCACCCCACTTCTCAGGATGAGTTCCACCAACACAGCACATGCCTTCCAAAGAAAGGCTCTGCTGAGCTGTGGTTTGCACTTGGACAATGTGTCCCCAGCTCCCAGGAGGGTGCTGTTGGCCCTGCTGCCAGGCCCTCTTTTGGAACGGGAGTCACTACGGGTGCGACAGCTCCTGAGAATGGCCTTGGTGCACTGTGTCCCCACAGCAAGGTGGCATGTGGCTTCCGATGGGCTCTGCCACCTGCCAAGCCTCCTGTGCCGACCCAAGGACACAATAAAGGGCCCTCTGGCCCTGGTGCCTTGCCCATTGGTCACAGGCTTGGTCAGAGGAGGGTCAGGAGTTGGGCCTGGCTGACCTTCCAGGCCTGGGTAGCTCCTACCCGCCCCCAGTAGGCTCCTGCTCCAGAGCTGGCCCAAGAGGACCAAGAACCCTCTGAACACCTTGGTTCTAGGGGACAGAGCCTACCTTGGGGCCCAGCCAGAGTAGGATCCAGTGCCAGTTCCCAGGGGAAAAGATCAGGGCCTCACAGGACCCCCTGGCCATGGGTGGGTTGGAAACAGCCAGAGTTCGTGGGAAGGAGGCCAGAGGAGAGGTTGCTCAAAATGAAGTCCCCACATATGTGGTGGCATATACCTGTGATGTCAAGCACTCAGGAGGCTGAAGCAGGAGGGTCACAAGTTCCAGGCCAGTCTGGGCACCTTAGTGAGGTCTTGCCTCAAAAATAAAAATACAGATTCCAGGGAGCCAGGTAGTGTTACTTTGACCAGAAATGCACAGCTGGAAGGTGTTCGAGAGAGAAGCTGCTCTGTGCTTCGTGCCATGTGGGTGGCACTGGGGAGCCATGAGGCACACGTGTCTGTCGGGGAGGGGCGCACGCCTTGCAGAGAAAGGCTCTGCTGAGCTGTGGTTTGCACTTGGGGAACAGTGTGTCCCCAGCTCCCAGGAGGGTGCTGTCTGTCCTGCTGCCAGGAACTTTGGAGTTAGGAGGGATGCCTGGTGGGGGCGCCCTCCAGGACAGACAGCATGGAGACCCTCAGCCCAGCCTCCAGGGCAAGGGCGCAGGTACACATCTCCGCAGCTCCTGAACCCCAGGCCACTCCCAGGCAATGAGAATAATACAGCCAGTGAGGGTGACGCTGGGCTGGGGCCTGTGCCCGAAGGCCAGCATGAGGACTTTGAGGTCCCACTGTTTGGGGGCAAAGGGAGCCTTTTTCCCATGACCTCACCTGCAAGGACCTGCTCTAGAGAAGTGGGGAGTGGGCATAGCCTGGCACACTGGGCTGCCAGGCTGAGGCCATGACAGGAGGGCCCAAGAATGAGCGTGGATGTCAGTGGGGCATGTGGGGACACCCTTTAGTGGATGACCTGTTGGCCTGGCATGGCCCTGCATGGGGCACTGGGGACAGAGGCACCTGCAGAACAGGGAGGCCCAGGCTTCCAGGGCTGCCACGTGGGCTCTGGCCCTAGGCCTCCTTGGCAACCAAGGTGTCACCAGGGCCCCAGGCTCCAGGGCTCCATGCGCTCCCCCCCACAATGCCAGCTGGGGTCATTGGGCTGGGAGGCAGCTCAGCACCCGCCCTGGTCTGTGCAGTTGCCACTGTGTGGACCTACTGTCCCGCCATGTGGGGAGCGCACCCCATAGCCCCACAGGATGTGGGGCAGTGCAGAGAGGACCAAAGGCCCAGACACTATGCACCCCGAGGGCCCTCTGACACTGAGGTGGCCCTTGTTGGCACAAGGGTTGGCACGTAGTCGTCTGCAGGACCAGCAAAGAAACCACGGGCTGCGACTCGGTGGGCAGGGCTGTACTGGCTGAAAGGGCCCTAGCCACTGTGAGATCCCCAGCCTCCCACCAGCCAGCAGTGTCTGCACCCATGACTCTTCTGAGCCTGCCTCGCCGTTTCTGCCCAGCTGGCACCCCTGCCCAGAGCCAGAGCGCCAAGCCTGCTGCCCCGTGGCCCCAAGGCCTCTGCCAGGAGTTGAGGCTCTTCTCTGCTCTGCCTGAGTCGGGACCCTCAGGCACCAAGTGCATAGGGTGGGAGTTCCCAAAGCCACTGTCCTCGCTGGGCCGCTGACTGGGGAGTGCAGAGGGAGATGAACAGGGTGGCATCTCCCCTGGCCCCCACCCCTGTGCCCTTGGCTGAAATTGCCTCCCTGGGACTCCTGGGGGTAGCTGGGGTCCCCGATGGTCATAGCACCGCTCCCTGGGTGCTTATGGGTGCCTGCCAGAGCTCGAGGGGCAGGGCTGAGGACTGACTCCAGGGCTGTGCTCCAGGAGCCCAGGGCCACGCATGCGCAGTACCGACCCCCAGGACACCTGGACGCTGTTTGTCAGGCACAGTGACAAGGGCGTCAACAGCAAGAACAGAGGCAAGGCCCAGAGGCTGAAGAGCAGCACGTGTCCGTCACCCACATCAGGGCCCCTCGTGCACCCCAATGTTTCCAACTGCACAACCCAGGGCAGAAGGTGGAAGACCAGGCCAACCCAGAGAGCCCTGAGTCAAGGGGGGCTGATTCACCTCGAAGCCCTTGAAGACCAGCCCCCTCTCTTCTCTCCCACTGGCTGGTTCCCCTGTCACTCAGCCTGGGGCCAGATGCCAGGGACCTGACACCTGGTCATGATGGCCAACTCCTGCACTGAGCCCAAAACAGATGGGTCCCCGCAGCCAGGAGCTCCAGATCAGGGCTTCTCCATTCACTGAGGGCCATCGCACCACTGGGTCCTGATGCAGCAGTGTGAGGTGGGCTCTGAGCCCGGGGACAGGGTGGCTGGGCTGTCACCATGGCCTCGCCCACCTGGTCCTGCCCAGGCCTCTCCACACCGGGGACTTGCTCATTCCTGGGGTGGTTTGACCTGGCCCTGTGGGTGCAGAGGGTGCTGGGCCAGGTTTGGGGGCTTACTGACTCTGGCTCTCAGGTACATGTCTCAGACAGCAGCCTGGAGTCCCTGCCTTCCCCAGCAGACCCCCCACCAGCCCAGTCCCCTAACTCAGGGTCTGTGTCTTTCCCTGGTTGCTCAGTGACTGAAGACAGCTCCCCTCCTGTCCCCAGGGCACTCAGCTCCTGCTCAGCACCCTCACCACTAGGGCTCCCCAGAGCCCCCAGGCTTCCGGGTCCCCCCCGTCCTGCCAGAGGCTCTGTTAAAGTTCCAGCTGCTGCTCCTAGGTAGGGGTGGCACAGGGCATGCCAGGGCCTGGAGGGGAGAGGCCGCAGCCATGCAGCAGGCCCAGGTGTGGAAGGCTGCCAGGGTGGGAGGAGAAGGCCCGTGGAGGAGGTTGGACCTGGCCCCTGTGTCCGAGGCGTGCTCAGAACCAGCACCAGGGCCCTACCCAGGCTGTCTGCACTGTGGGCAGCTGCTCCACACAGGAATTGGTACACAATGAACCAGAGCCGTTTCCTCTCCCATCCTATGTATCTTATTCGTTTTAAACAGCACTTCCAGCTGGGTGTGGTGGTGCACGCCTGTGATCCTGGCACTCAGGAAGCTGAGGCAGGAGAATCACTGCTTGTTCCAGGGCCAGCCTCGGCTGCTGAGCAAGACCTGGCTCAAAAACCCCAAATTAACCCCAGCAAAACAACACTCACGGGGACTTTCTGAAGGACTTACATGTTACCCCAGTGTAGCCGCGCTACTCTCGTTCAGCTTCTCCCCAGCACGTGGGTGAGCCCAGTAGTGAGACCGAAGGGTGCTAGGCCAAGCTGAAGGGCTCCGGGCAGCTGTGGGATCAGGACACAGGGGCACCAGACCCCGAGACTCCCTGACCGTCCTCTGGGGCATGGGACGGGGTGGTTGGGGCCCCCACCGCTGCCCTGTGCCGGGCGCCATTCAGATGGTGAACCATGCACAGGCCCCACCGAGCCAGCGGCCATGCCTGGGCTACAGCCACAGGTGGCTGGGAAAGGGGTGCCAGGCTAGCCCGCGAGGCTCAGCACAGGGCTGAGCAGAGCCAGGCCTTGGGTCCCAGTCTCCCGCCAAAGCCCAGCCTTCCCAGCAGGTCTGTGTGGCCCTGCGGTCTCCGATGTCCAGGCCTCCTGAGTGTCTGGTGCTGCCCAGGGCCACGGGGGCGGTCACGGGGCTTCACGACCGGGCCCTGCAGCTGTGGGGAGCTGATACTCGTTCTTACACTAAAGCCTGAGCACGAGTCTCTGCAGGACTGTGGGGATCTGGCCAGTGGCAGAGAGGCTGGCGTGAAGGTGGGATTTACTAAGAGAGAAAGAAGTTGCAACAGTACCTGTGGTTGGGGCTCCCGGGCTCTTGACACAGCTGTGTGGGGGAAACTGAGGTCTGAACTAGCATGCTCGCGTTCCAGCGGCACCCTGGACCCTGCAGCCCAGGAGCCCCAGGGATATGCGGGTGGCCAGGCTTGAGTGCGGCTCTCACCATGGCTGTGCCAGGGGCACCGGCCAGGCTGAGGTAGGGAGAGGAAACTCCAGCCCTGAGTGGGACAGACTCCTGCAAGCATGGCCTAAAGGACTGGAGTGGCTGGGTCAGAGCATCAGGGTAGGAGCTGAATGCAAGACAAGCCTCAGTGACTGAGCCCTGCCCCACAGGTGGGCAGCACACCGGTCTTCCTGGATGATGCCAGTGGCTCCTACTTCAGCGCCATCCTCCTGTGTGTGAGTGGCTGCTGCAGGGCCTTCCTCTCCCGGGCAAGTGCAGCAGGGGCCTGAATGACACCAGACAGTGTGGAGCAGCAGTGGAGAAAGCCCACATGCGCCTGCGACTGAAGCATAAGCTGTGAATCACTTTGCAAAGGGAAGGCCTGCTGTTATCCTGGCATGCCCGTCCCTGGATCCACTTGGCACCCAGTGGGCAGCACATTAGTAATCTCTTCACTTGAGGAAGCCACATGGGCACTTCTCACAGCACAGGCGTGACACAGAGCAGCCCACTGAGGTACCTGCTGTGGAATACTGCTAGGCGGGACTACCTAGGGAACCGACTTGGACATGTTATGCGAAGACACGAAGCCATGAGCAGAGGGCAGGCCTGAGACTCAGAACCAGCCTGGAGGTGGCAGGGAGGGCCTGCTGGGGAGGCCACAGTGCCAAGCTGGTTTGCTGCAGGGAGACATTCACCAAATAAATGCCTTCCTGACTCCAAATGCTGAGATCCTTTTCTTCAGTCATCCCACTGTCCAAAGTCCCAGTCCCCAAGCTACCGGGGAGCCAGCTTCTGACCTCTCTGGGTCGCAGCACGGAAGCCTGTGTGTGGCTGACACCCATAGGCCACAGGCAGCCCAGCTTGCACACAGCTTTGACACTAGAGTGGCCGATATGATAAGGTCCACTTATCACTGGGTTGGGGCCAGCGAACATTACCAGGCAGGAAAGGCAAGATTCCAGGCTTATGTCACCCCAAGCCAACACTGACAAGGGGACCTGAGAGCTACTTTAATACAAGACAGCAATGATGACGTTTCACATGCAAACAAGTGCTTGAAAAGCTTCCAGAGTGTTCCAGTCATGGCTCATGCGGCACAGGGACCCTCAGAGGGGGGACTGCGATGGCCCACCTCAGGCTAGCAGAGCTCCTGGCCCGCTACCCCACAGTGAGGAAGCTTTTGAGGGCCGTCCTAGACAGCATCGGGGCTGTCAGACCTGGTGCCCCACAGCCTTCTACCAGACAGTGCTGTCAGCAAGGAATGAAGGAGCTCACCCTGGGGTCAGATGCCATGGGGCA